TGTATATATATATAAATATATATATGTATATATATATATATGTGTGTGTGTGTGTGCGTGTATATATATGTATTAATATATATATATAAGTGGGTGTGTGTTTGTGTACGTGTGTGTGTATGTATACTGATCTCTGTCGCTACCCCTTTGCCGGGTTCTAAAAATGTACCCAAACACTCCCTTCACAAATCACCTATGGTTGAAACACCCACCAATTATATTGCTTACAGTGCTTTGTTTTATAAACGTTTCTCAGACCAAGGTCAAATTTGTTCTCATATCGTTGGCCTATTTAATCACCATATAACTCTTCTCTTTTGCCCACTCCAATTTCTCTCCATCCACAGAAACCGATGCCATGGCTGAGGCGCACAGTGCAAGCGTCTCCCGAGTGCTTCAGTTGGCAGCCCCAGAGATTGGCATTCTCATCCCGGCGTTCATCTGTTTGTTGGTAATTAGTAGCATTGGTCTAGTGGGGAGTGTGCCTATCCCTGCAGGGCATATCGTGATTCACATGGCACGGGTAGTAGTAGGGTACGTGGAAGTTGTATATATATATATATCCATACTGTAGTTGTATACTATAGTTGTATATAAATATATATATATCCATACTATAGTTGTATATATATATTCATACTATAGTTGCATATATCCATACTATAGTGGTATATGTGTATCCATACTATAGTGGTATATATATATCCCTACCATAGTTGTATATATAAATCCATACTATAGTGGTATATGTATATCCATACTATAGTTGTATATATATATCCATACTATAGTGATACATGTATATCCATACTATAGTTGTATATATATATCCAATATATAGTGGTATATGTATACTCATAGTATAGTTATATATATATATCCATACTATAGTAGTATATGTATATCCATACTATAGATGTATATATACATCCATACTATAGTGGTATATGTATATCCATACTATAGTTGTATATATATATCCATACTATATTTGTATATATATATACATACTATAGTTGTATATATATAACCATACTATAGTGGTATATGTATATCCATACTATAGTTGTATATATATATCCATACTATTGTGGTATATGTATAACCATACTATAGATGTATATATATATTCATACTATAGTGGTATATGTATATCCATACAATAGTTGTATATATATATCCATACTATATTTGTATATATACAACTATAGTATGGATATACAAATACCACTATAGTATGGATATACATATACCACTATAGCATGGATATATATATGCAACTATAATATGGATATACATATACCGCTATAGTATGGATATACATATACCACTATAGTATGGATATACATATACCACTATAGTATGTATAGATATACATATACCACTATAGTATGGATATATATATACAACTATAGTATAGCCATCCGCCCATACCACACTCGCTCATACTACACGTATTGTCTGTCTGATCATCTCTCTGTTTACACTAATGGTGTGTTTGATCATCTGTCTGTTAACACGTATGGTCTGTCTGATCATTTGTCTGTTTACAC